GGGGGGAGGGGGTGCGGGCGCGGGGCCCGGGCGGGCGGACGGGGTGGGGGTGGTCTGCCGGGGTAGACGCGGGGACGCGGCGACGCGGGGAATGAGGAATGGGCGGTGCGGGGCTGAGGAGGGTGAGGCTGGAGGCGGCCGCCGCTGGGGCTGCTTCCTGGACGGGGAACCCCTTCCTTCCTCCTCCCTGAGAGCCGCGGCTGGAGGCGGCCGGGGTGAAACTCGCGGGCCGGGCGGGCCGCCCCTCGGGGCGGTCGGGTGCGGTGGAGGTTACTCCCGCTGCGCTCCAGCCTCCCCTCCCCCTCGCCGTCCTTCCCTCTCCCTCTCTCTCCCTTCGCTCCCGCACCTCTTCCTCCCTTCCCAGCGCTCGGCTGCCTCGGTTACTGCTTTCTGTGCTGCATCTCGCATCTCTAGGACGAGGGTATAAACTTCTCCCTCGAGCGCAGACTGGACGGCTTGTGGTCCTTTTTTCAGTGTGTAGGGGGATATATGAGTAAGAGGGGAGGTCGCGTTTTGGAAGCGCAGAGGAAAGTGCTTAGAGACCACTGTTTGAGGTTATTGTGTTTGGAAAAAAATGCATCTGCAGCCGAGTTCCTGACTGCTCCCCTCCCCCATGTATGGGCTGTGACATTGCTGTGGCCACAAAGGAGGAGGTGGAGGTAGAGATGGTGGTGGAAGAACAGGTGGCCAACACCCTACAACATAAAGCCTGTACTTAGTGAAAAAGAAAAAGTTAATCCCAGAAGGTCTGTTTTGCTTTGTCAAGTTAAAACACACGCAGCAAACCCGCAGAGCAGAAGCAGGGCTTTTTCCTTGCTAGTTGAGTGTAGACAGCAATAGCTAGAATTGTATTTGAAGTTTAATTTGCCTGTTGTTGTTCTTTCCACCATCTCTTCTGTATTACCCTTATGCGTACCTGTTTGATCCCCATCCCAGGAGTTATTACCATATTCCTAAACGGCTGTCACACAATTTTTTTTTTTAACTGACCTACCAGAGGAGTTAATTGTAGCAATCTGCCAGCCAACTGCCTGAAATAGGCATGTGTATGTTGTAGTTGAAGTCCTCAAGTAGCCTTCTTAAATCTTGATATCCACCAAAATAAGGGGTTAAGAACAGAAAGGTATTTTCTAATTTTTTACACAATATATATGTTACATTTGTAATGGAAAAAAATCATTCAAAAAGAAATCCCAAAGGGAAAAAAGTCTGTTCATAATCATCTCAGAATCAACCTTATGAGTGATGTCATTCTTAGGTGACTAAGGTCCAAAATGCTGACTCGGGCGTGTAATAGACTAGAGATGACAAATATGGTTGATAACAATACTGTTTACTTTAGACTGTATCCATTCACAGGCATTCTTGGTTTTAAGAGATAGTAGACAAAATGATAATTCATTTTGTTTTATGACAAAGTGAAAATTCTTTTCCTGAACAGACTGTTCTGTTCCACCGCTTGCTAGCTTTTGTAGCTTTGGGTGAGGGGGCTCCTTCTGGCCTATTGATCATCTTTGGGAACCCAGTTCTCTCTAGTGGGTTTAAATATTACTTGATTTTTGAAATCCAAGTCAAAGATTTTTTTCAGAAATAACCATTGTAAAGGAGTAGACCAGAAGGTATGTGTCTTTCAGAATTCACACATATATGTACAACTAAGCTCTAATCCAGTATTTGTCCACAGTCTCTCTTAGGCTAGCAGACTTACTGGTCATAAGGATCTGGACCCCTTTACACTCTTAAAAGTTACTGAAGATCCCAATTTGGAGTGTGTCAATATTTAGCACAATAGAAATTAAAATTGAGAATTAAAACAATATTAATTCATTGAAAAAAGAAATAATAAGCCCATTACTTGGTAACGGTAGTAGAATTTTTAATGAAAAGTAACTTTTCCAAAACAAACACAAAAATTGTGAGAAGAGTGACATTGTTTTGCACTTTTGCAAATCTCTAATTATATGGTTTAGTAGACAGCTGGATCCTCACATCTGCTTCTGTATTCAATCTATTATCACACATCTGGAAAATTCTACTGTACACTTGTGAGCGAATAAGAGTGGAAAGGGTAAATCACATCATAGCATTATCGTGAAACCAGTTTTTGACCTCTTGGGCCCTCTCCAAAAGTCTTAGGAACCCTAATGGGTTCCTGGAACACATTTTGAGAGCTACTGTTCTGGGCTATCCAAATTTTATTGGAGGGGTGGGCTGGGCAGGGAACTATAGGATACATTTTGGTGAGATTATCCTCACCTATCCCATTTGCTGTGGTCAATATTAGGAATGAAAAGGGGGAGCAAACAGGATGTGATACATGTTTGTGGTGGCCCTAGACAAGGCTAGGTGGCGCAGAGCAGGCCAGGGAGGAACTGTGATACGACAGTTGTCTGGCCTGTCTGCTCTCTGTGAGTAGGTTCAGGAATAGGGTGAAGAGGTAGGTAGTATGTTATCACTTGGAAAAACATATTACTTTTTGGGGGGTAGGGTGGTGAGGTGCCTGTTGGGATAATTCTTGGTCTTCAGTAAATAGGATGCTGCATGTATATAGTGTTTATATGCAGTATCTGTACATTCATTAATTTTGAGCTACTTACCCTGTAATAAATTATTGTTCATTGACTGCCATTCTTTCTGCAGTTCACTACTTATTTGTAGTAATATCATGTAGTTATTGAGGGAAAGGAGATTAAAGTAAATAAATGCATTTTCATTTCAAAAAGTTTGAAACAGCTGACTAAAAAAATATTTTCTGTCTTGGCGCCGTTAACCTTACAAGTTGTCGATGTTTATTGCTACTGTTGGGAGATGATGTATGAGAAGCAGAGAATAAAAGTCATGTGGATTACTGAGAAATACATCTTTTAAAAATTCTCTCATTAAAAGTGTGCTTGTCTTTAAATATTATATAATTATATTTCTCTTGTGCAAAGTGCTATTTTTCAGCACTGATATAGCATTATAGATTGTGATTGATGATCACATAATCTGTACTGAATAGTTAGTTAAAAATTCTCGAAGTTCTCTTAGTTTTTACACCATTATTTTCCCCAGCAGATAATGTACAGATTAAAATGTTACCAGGTATCGTCCTTATCTGCTTTGGCATCTCAGTTTTTATTTTCCCAGTGTACTGTCCAGCTTTATTTGACAGTCCTCCCCCCACCCCCATCTGATTCTTGCTAACTGTCCAGGAGAACTACTACGATGATGCTTTTAAAAAGTTTTCTGTAGCTGTTGGCCCCAACAGAGGCACTCAGCATATCCACTGTAACTCTTAGGGGCCCGAGTCGAGGAGGAATACTGTGGCGATAGCTGTCAGCAAGTTTTGTGTGAGTGTGTCCTCAGGGTATAGAGCAGTGTGCTTGACACTTGTACTGAGTGAAGTCATGGCCTGCTCCTTTGAGAGCCGTTACCTGCTGCCGAAGAGCAGACGGGCTCTTGAGATAGAGCCACCTGAATGCAAGGTCAAAGAACTGTGTACTCCGAATGAGTTTTTCTCAAATGCTGATGGAGGAGTTTGTCAACGAAGTGCAATTCGTTACCAGTACACATCTGTAGTCATCCAGAGTTTTGTCATTGAATTTTGTGAGGTATTTTGAAATACTGTTCCATATAAAGGTGAACTTGTGTTAAGAGGTATTGATAGAGTGTTTGGGTTATATTAACCTCACGTGTGGCACACGTTCTAATTGAGTCACATTTCCATTTTTGTCATAAGGCCTGCTGAAAATGACTGAATATAAACTTGTGGTAGTTGGAGCTGGTGGCGTAGGCAAGAGTGCCTTGACGATACAGCTAATTCAGAATCACTTTGTGGATGAATATGATCCTACGATAGAGGTAAATCTTGTTTTCATATGCATATTGATTTGTGCAGGCCCATCCTTTGGGTACAAAAAAAGGTTTCTCTGATCATTTTCTGTGACTACTCATCACAAGGTAGTTATACTGATAATACTTTTATTAAGTTATCTAAAATGTACTTGGATTTCAAGGCATTACTCTGATATAAGTAACCATAGATATGATACACCAGCCTGTTTTCTCTCAGGACAATACTACTACTCTGTGTTAGTGTATGTGCATTTTGATTGGAAGTGTATTTCAGAGTTTTCTCACAGGGTGAAAATGTGAATTTACATCTTATCTGTAAGATGAGACATATCTAACAGTCTTTTTTTTTTTTTAATGTGCCTATTTTTATGGAGGTTTGGTTTTTTTTTTGGTATTTTGGTGTCACATATAGAGTTGATTTATACTGGTGAAGCGTAATCATTTGATGATTGAATTAAAAACACTGAATTAGTAGTATTTTCATGTTTTCTCTTCACATTGAAGTAGTGGAGAACCTACAACTACCTGATGCATTTTAGAAAGCTCATTCTTTTTTTTTTTTTTTTTTTTTCCGCGGCACGTGGGATCCTCCCGAAACGGGGCACGAACCCGCGTCTCCTGCAACGGCAGGCGGACTCTCAAGCACTGCGCCACCAGGGAAGCCCCCTAGAAAGCTCATTCTTTGCGTTTATGTATATGTATATCAGGTGATATGTAAGAATACCATCACCAATCCTTACCTTTGCTTTACAAACCTTTTTCAATTTATTCAAGGCGATGTTAGAATTGTTTTTTTTATTACAAATTGATTAATGAATAATTTTCATACTTTTTCAGTTTCATAAAAATGTACCAAAGGATTGGCCAACAGCAAAATGATAGAATAAAGGCCTAGCAGAGACCTTGAGAGGTCACGTAGTATGTTTCCCACTGCCTTCTGGCAGCACTGTACTCAGATGATCTCAAGCAGATAAGGATTTATTTAATCCCAAAGACCTGCAGGAGGGAATGGCACACAACTGTCCTTGTTAACTAATTTCCAGAATGTAATTATTAGTGTATTTCATGCATAATCTGAATCTTCCTGTGAAGTTTAACATAATATCAGCTCATCTTTGAAATAGATTTATGTTATTAGATTATTTCTTAGACTTCTTTACCCCAGGGTAAGCAATCCTAATCCCTTAGCTTTTATTCTAGATCTGATATACCAGTTTTTTTAATCAGCTCTGAAAAATTTCCCATAACTTTCTCTGAGCCCCAAGCTGTAGGGTCTAGAATAGGTCAAAAATGCCCTGTTAAGGTATTGTGCTGTGTAATGTCTTAAAAAAAACACCTGGACTGCACTTAGGTAGGTTCTGAGGGCATTGTTGGCCTTGGGAAGATGTTTATGCAGTGTAGAACTTTGAGGATTGACAAGGAAATGTTCATAAGGAAATGTCAAATATTTCTGGTACTGGAGGGAAAAAAATGAAGAAATAACCCTTATTTACAAAGATCTGATTTAAACATAGAAGCAGCTTTCATTTGGCTTCCAAGTTTAATAATTTGCATTAGTAAAAGGGAAGGATCTAACTGAAGTGGACCACCTATGTAATAGTCTCTCTGTATTTCCTCTTGGCAAGTCAATTCAGTGCTAATGGTTTTGTTTATTTTTTACTTTGAGGAGGATTAAATAGTTCACCTATTTCTGAAGCCAAGGTTACTCGTCATACTCCACCATTTAAATTGGAAGTAAAAGGACATTTTAATAGAATTTAAGTTAATCATGGCAGTTTTCCTGGGATTCTGGAATATGATTTTGATTTTAGCAGAAGTGCCCTCCATCTTTTCTGAAAATCTGAAGAATTCCATTACACTCTGTTTCCTATCAGAGGTCAAGAATGATGTATAAGAATGTGATTTAAAAAAAAAAAAAAAGGTTAGGAAACCTTTTGGTCAAAATTGTTAAAGTGCAATATAAATCTTAAAGAAATAAAGCTAAAAGTCAGTCCTTTATTTTGGGGGAAGGTAAAAAAAAGTTTATAAACTCAGACCCAGTAACTCTGATTATGATTTCTGCCAAACCAGAAACTTGACCCAGGGAAGCATTGATTACCTGTGAACTTTGAAACTGACATTCCGTCACTAGTGTAGCCACCTGGGAAATGGTTATCAGAGATTGTCTCTTATCTCCCAAGTTACAGTGAGTCTCTGAGGGAACTGACACATTGAATTCTTGGTGTAGTTCAACTAGCAGAAAAGCAACAGAATTTAGTAGTTTATTTTCATAAGTGGTAAAACAAAAATACTGACATGGCGTTTTTGTAAAAAGTTGAAGGGTAGTGGGTATCACTACTGCTGTTAAGTTTCTGGTAGGTGAACAGTGTAGGTCAGAGAAAATAAGAGAGGTCATAGACTTTGCACATTTGGAGTTCTCATCAGTTTTTCTGCATTAAACAAATGGAGAGAAGTTTAGGAAAAAATTTTAATTAACTAATACCATATTTTCTAGTGGTTTAGAATTTTCAGAGATTTATATTGGGTCGGCCAAAAAGTTCGTTCGAGTTTTTCATGTTATGGAAAAACCCGAGTGAACTTTTTGGCCAACCCCAAACTGTGAGCCAGGTAAGGAAGGTGGTCATTGTTTCTTTCATTTTATCAATAAAAATGGTCTCTGAGAGGTTGTAACTTGCATAAGGATACTTAAGCTAGCAAGTGGTGGAATTTTAAGTTTTCTGAGACCAAGTTAAGTGGAATTTCCACTGCACCCTTGTATAGCTTTTTAAAAATGAAAAATTAGCCTTCAAGCTAAAAATATTTAGTGTTGGAGGCTGATTCAGATTATTAATATATCAAAATTTGAACTTAGCCTACTATCTAATGGCATCTTAATAGCAGGATATGGTATAGAATTAGGTATGACACATAGATGGAGCATGTTTATATTTGCACATGATGATCACCTTTACTTCTGTTCTGAAAAGATTTTACCTTTATCTTTTATGAAGCCCACTGCAGTGTTCCAAGAGAGAACGAAATACCTTGTTAGTGGTGCAGGATTATTAAAAACTCGGTCCCCAAACACAATACCAGGCTAGAAATAGTATATGTTTTTATAGTTTGGAGATCATGTTATTATAAAAACATGTTCTCTGAAATGTGTTTTCTAAGGTAAAATTTGGTGGAAGCAGAAAAATGGAAGTAGAGATCAGAACTGTCAGTTGGTCAGTTAGCAAATATCTAACAAGTATCTACTGGATACAATATAAAAATAGACATAGAAAGAAGTATTTTTTTCCAGTCTCCAATTCATTGACATCTGTATGCTTCTGTTAATGTGACATTTCTAATTCAGTCCAAGTATTATGCCCTTCTTTGATGAAACAGTTTTCTAGTCAGTGAGAAAGAATGGAGTCATAATTGGATTGATTTGTTCCATCTTTAGTGCTCTGAGCCGTGGAGTGTTTATTCACCGAGATATATCAGTTTGTCTTTTAAAAATTTTTTCCGTGTTAATTATGGAATTGCTGATTAAGGTATTTATAGAGAGAAAATTTGTAATACTAAACCAGTATTGAAGAGTGGTGTAAAAAAAGCACTGTTTAATATTGTAAGCTGTTATTTTTCTGTTTTTTTGGTTTTGTTTTTTAACATATGTATCTGTAGTTATTAACAAGGAATAGGTGGTGACTTTGCCCCTCGGGACATTTGGCTAAATCTGGAGCTGTTTTTGGCTGTCACAGCTTGAAGAGGGGGCTGCTGCTGGCCTCTGTAGTGGGCAGAGGCCGGGGTTCTGTTACTCCTCCTGCAGTGCACAGGAGGGCCCCCCAGCAAATAATCACGTGGTCCAGAATGTCAGCAGTGCTGAGGTTGAGACCCCAATACTGTGTGTTACATGTAGCTTTAAACGTCCTATAAATTGTGAGGCTCAAGTCCCTGAATATCGTTTATGTTAGATTTTTTTAACATAATATAGATTTAAACCTTACATTCGAAACTAACGATATGTTATATTAGCTTACACTAGTGTTCTGTTACAACATTCTGTTTTTAAAACAAGGTACAACAGCAATTTTGTAAAAATCCGTTTCTCTTCCAGACTGGCCACTCTTCTCCCCCCTTTCAAGTGAGCGCCCTCTACTGGTCAACTTATTCGCTTTTATTATAAAAAATGAAATCCTAAGTTTGGATATTTTTTCCTTTTAAACTGTGGGTACAATCAATTTATAACTATATAAATTTTATTTAAAAGTCTTATTTTGTATAACTAATGTTTTAACAATCTAAAGTGTCAGAAAAATCTAAAGTATCAGTTTTACTTTGCTAATGTTATTAAGATCACTGTGTGGACCAGTTAGGCCTAACTAATTAAATATGTGGGTGAATATTTTTGACTAAGAAAGGAAATGTGGCAATGTAGGAGAAAATAGGGTGGTGCCCTTGTTAGCACTGCTTGAGGTCACTTTGTCTGAGGGAATGAGAAGGGGCACTGTGGCTCTGTGAATTTCTTTTCATGTACACAGGAGGTACCTTACAGAGTTCAGAGCTTAGTGATGTTTTACATGGGGTGTTAGGAAGGGCCTATTCGAAAGTGGCAAATTGTGAAAGTTCACATTTTGTAAATTTTTATAGGACTGTAGAATAGTTGAGAACGCCTGATTTTTAGAATAAACTAACACAAAATTCAGGCACTGTATTTAGGTCAATTTAAGAATAAGTATTTACTTAATAATAACTATTTATTGAGCCCTGAATGTTGAAAATTATTGGACACATTTTATTCTAACTTGGGTTTTTATAAATACAAAGCTTTAAAAACATGCAAATGAAAGTTGGCAATGGAAATAAATGAAAGGAAAAGAAAACTTTATCCTTTATCGTTTGGCATCTCTTAAGAGTCTGGTTTAAGCAATGCAACTAATTTCTTAATTCCATAAATGTTATTAGTGCCTACTCTGTACCATGCAGCCTTCCTACGGCCTAGAGATACACTGAGGAGCAAAAGAAACCGCATCACTGCCTTC